TTAGTTTAAAATGTATTAATCAAAAGAGTTATTTTAATATGGTACACAGCCTGATTTTCCCATATTATATAGCATCAATTGTGCTAGAGTACCAGTATAGGTAACAACACTTAATAGATTCAATTAAATAAATTGTGTGACATTGCATTTAAATGAATTTATCATTTAGCATGTGTTTGACACCCATTTTTGATATATTATAAATTTTGAAATAGTGGTGGTTGAAAAGTAATGAAAAGTTTTAGATTTTGTGTGCAATATTATTTTATTTGAAAAATGTGTGATTATAATTAAGTAGGAGAAATTTTTTTAAAAAAATAATGGGTGCCAAACACAATGTTAATATCATGCAATTCCTATTTAGACTCGTGTTTGATATTAGTGGTGTTAATAATATTGTTATTCTGACAAACGTCTACAAAATTTTCAATGATTTGGACAATAAATTTATTATTTTAAACTAGAAAATAAGACTTTTATTTGATAGCTCAAGTTTTCTTGGGAAAATGAAAAATATCATACCATTTTCCACAAATTGGTCTGTTTGATAACCCTAATTTTCTAGGGAAATAATTTTCTTGAAATGGCTCACGCGACCCCTTAATTCCACGAAATCGTGGAATTGGAATTCCCTTGCATCTGGTGGGTTTCATTTTCTTCGCAATTCACTCACCACTTTCCCATTTTCTTCTCACGCCTTCCTCCCCTTCACCCATCTCCGCCTCAAATTCCACCAAAAAAATCACCACAACTTCCTGTCATTGAAGGTGAGGAGAGGAGCTGTCGGTATCCAAAAAAAATCAAGACAAGAGTTCCTTCTCACGCCTTCATCCCGTTCACCGTCTCCTCCGAAGGGTTTCTGATATACTCTCAAATTCCATCAAGAAAATCACCACAACACCCTATCATTGAAGGAGACGAGAGCACGAGAAGCTATCGAAACTGGAAAACCCTCAAGAATCCCCAATTTCAGACCATTGGGTTACCGATTCAGGTATGCTCTACGCCCCTTTATCTCTGCCATGTTTTTCCCAAAACAGATTCAATTAACTGCGTAAGAAGGAACAACCCTTCGATTCCCATCTCCCACTCCGTGTAAAATAGTGGGAGAGTACTTGAAGGAAGAACCTTGGTTGAACCTCCTGTGTAGTAAATTCAAGTCTTGCTTTTCACCAATTAAAAATTTTCTGTTTTTCCCTTTGTATCATCTCACGGTCTATAAATAGCTACGAAAATTTGTCCAGCTCCTATTTTGAACTCAATGGCTTTGAAATCGATACCTTAGCAAGTGCTCAACTTCTGTTTACTATCTAAACTCCATTATTTGAAAAGGGAAAATTGAATGAACCTGAACTTGGAAGGTAGATTATGCAGTGCAAGTAATCGGGGCAATTTTAACATTACTTAACATTATGCAGTGCAAGTAACCAGGGGAAATTTTAGTTGTCCAGTACGAAAATTTTTATAGCTGATATCATTTTGTTGATTATCCTGTTGGAAGACACAGGTTGGGAATTATTGTCATTTGAATGGAATGAGAAGCAAGTCTTTAATTGATACATCTACATGTCTATTTTCTTATTTGAGGAGAAAAACTGCTCTTTTATATGTAGTACTTGTTTCAATTATTTGCGTTACTCCAAAATTTGAGGTTTGCGTTTTATGGTAAAATGGACTAGTCTGCATCAATCTCTTCTCCTTATTGAGAAAACCATGCTGCTACTGCACTGTTCTAGAGAGCAAGATTGCTGTAAATGCCAACTTCCATTTTAGTTTTTTTGGATGCGTTTTGATATGCCTGACAAATGCTAGAGCCTGGTTGGAGCTGTGGTTGTGCTTGACCCCAATTGGAAAACATAACAAAATAACAATAACAAGAAGCTACGCCTTGCTTTATTGAACTCAGAGTTGGCTATAGGAATCCTTTATTAACATTTGGTTCTACCTACAACTATTTCAACTAAAAAGTTAACCTTTTGCATCCATCCCAGGGAATGTTATTTCTACTGTC